GGATTGGAAAGATGCTCTATGAGGTAGTCAATAGGACCAACATGGGAAACATTAGCTTGAATGAAAATTCTGAGCATTGCCACTGTTAAAGGGTATTTAAGTCTTTTATGTAATACTGAGGGTTTCCTAAGTTTTTATTATAAATAGTGTAAGAAGCTAACACAATAGTTAAGCCTTCTTATTCTTTTACTTCAACACCATCTTTGAAGGTAGCCATGTTCACTATGCAATATAAAGAGAAATAAGTTAATAAGAAAATGCTTGTGGATCACCTTGATATAAGTGAAGGGCAAGTTTCAAGAGATGAGGAAATTCCAGCAAGGACGTATACAATCAGAAAATCGGCAGGGGAAGGGTAACGACTGGAGGTGGGGGAGGGACGAAAGGTGGTGTGGTGGAAGACAATCATTTTTTTATTTTATTTTTTCTTGCTTTATTGGAAAAGGAGGCATATTGCCTTTTCAACCTAAACATCTGATCTCCAGCGAGCAACATTTTTGGATGGAAAATGTGGTAAAGATTAAGTTGGTTACAATATGCAAAGTTTAAGGACCGGTTTGTCAGAAAAATTAGAACACCCAAACTCGGATATAGGTCCTATAGGATGAGGACAGTAAGAGCAATTTTCCCTTTTCATCTAGGATTATACCTTAGGCATTGATGGGGACTGCGGATGGATGTCGTGGTGGTGGTGGTAAGGATTGAATGGGGGAAGAGTAAAGAATTCAATTGGGATGGTGGGCATGTGTGTTGTTTTAGTAAAAGAATTTATGGGGACGAAAGTGTGGGCACTGCCCTGGTGACAAAAGCAAGGGTTTGGTGGGTGGCTGGTGCAATCGTTGAGGGGTCGATAAGGTGGAGACGTGCAGTGCTGTAGTGTGTTTCAAAGGTGTTGCTTTGTGTGGAGGATGGTGTGGGTAAGAACTATTAAAACCTCGCAGACCTAAAAAAATGTTTTTCAAATTGTTCTGCAGCGAGTTTGTTGTGAAGATATTTCAGCTTAGTTTTGAATAAGTAAACAGCTCAAAAAACTCATTTCCTTTTAGTCTGGTCAATAAAGTTTCAACAAGGCACCAATTCATATAACAGAACAACAATACTCAATTTAGATAAATTTATTATGTAAAAGAAAATATCAGTTCCCAGGATAAAAGAATTACTAATGCAACCTCACCAAATTTCAGAAAAGATAAAAGACAGAAATTCTCAACGAAATAAGCAACGATGGTACCTGATGATTCACAATATTAGCAGATAACCTTTGAATTTCACGTTCTTCGTGATCAGCGAAAAGCTTCGCTTTCATTGCTGCAGCAGCAAGACCAGCTTCAGCAGCAGCCCTCACGCTTTCGGCAGATAATGGAGAAGCCTCTGTATCCTGTTGACTCCAATGACTTTGCCCTCCAATCATATCTTCTGAGAATGTCATTTAAAGGAATTAAAAGAAGAAATGAGAAGACTAAATAATCTACAGCATACCTTTTTTACTACAATTTGTGTTTTTCCCTTGATGAATCGCTCTCTCACAATTGTCCTTAGATAAGGCGGCCAAGGAACCATGGGCACAGGCTGCAGCCACTCTTGGCCCCAATGCAGAGGCCAGAAAGGCGACCTAGATATAACAGTAAATAAGTGTTTAATAAAAAGTGGTAAAAGCCAACTAAGAAGCCAGTATTTGAGGCAAAATTATGCAATGCTAAAATCAGAAACAAGATATTTAAGTGAGAAAAGCTGAGAGGTGGAAAAAGAGAGGAGCTTTACTTCGAATACAGATGCATAAAGATGCTGCAATCTAAATAGTATCAAGTCGATGTCAGGGTAAAAAAACCTTGTGACATTCGGAAGAGGAAATACAACCAAATCTTCCCACCCACACCGACCTCAATACTGCCAGGAGATTAAGGGAACAAGGGAATATGTGCAAGTATAATAGTAAGATAAAATTATTCTAGTGAATTAAAATTGGTAAGCTAAAAAGAATGGTAGGCGAAATCTGATCAACCCATTCGCACTCATGAAACTGTAAACCCATATTTACCCCCACCTTTCGGTTCCGGTTCCTCCAAGTGCGTTTTCTTCTCCTATTTCCAAAGAAATAAAAATGCATAAAATATGGGAACAAGGCCTAATAAGCCCACATAAATCATGAAACACCTGCCCATATACAGATCATGAAGCGCCAATCTCCAGTCAGTTCCCTGGACGGATAAAAGATGATTCTCTCCCATCACACAGAAATATGGGGGGAAGAGTGACAATTGTTTGTAATAGCTCATAATATGACCAGCAAGCACAACTAAACCAATACCCAAGCATTAACCGACATAAGTAGCAAAGCTTGCTACCTGGTATGGTGCTATCTAAAAATGGGACCATAAAGAAGTGGCATTGACGAACTGCAAAGTTCAGAAAATAATCTCGAGTCTACGTTGGTTTCAAGCTCTGATGCTCGGACTCTTCGAAATAGTTGGAGTATCCGTGGTGGACACAACACGACATGACATGGGTATGGGATATGTGTCGGATCCTCCAAATTTCAACTGGACACTTCGTCGTTTTTGCTTCTTCTTCCTTTTTCTTCTCATTTTCTTGTTTCCCACTTGTTGCTCTCTATAAACCTAACGTCATCGCCGAGAGGGTGGAGAAAGACGGCGATGCTAGATTTTCCCTTCTTTTTCCTCTTCTTTCTTTTTTCTTTTCATTTTCTTCTTTTTTTTCCTTCTTTCTCTCTCTATATCGGTGGTTTAGGGTTTTGTTTGTATAAAATGAAAATGAATTTCATATAGTGCTACTTACTGCTTTACTAAGTCCAAATTACAATTAAGTTCCTCATTTTCTATTTTATATAACATTTAGTAATTCTCATTATTGAAAACTAAACCCCAAAATTCTATTTTATTCGTCTTAACCCCTTATTAAATACTCATTTCCTTTATTGTAAATAATTAATTTTGGCATATTCAAAATGACATCTTGGATTAATAAAAAAATTGAAGTTTGAAAGACATACCCACGTACCCGTGTCCGAAATTTGGACTATTTTTAGTCATGTTCCCGTATCCTACATTTTAGAAGATAATAGATCCGACACGTAAATACGTACATGTACCCGATACCCGTACCCGAGTCCGAGCATCATAGGTTTCAACTTTCAAGGGTGACCTTATCTAGACCATAATAATCATTGAGTAACCCAAGTCTACCAATAAGTGAAAGAGCATTCCAACCAAACCATTTATCTTAGGTGGCTTATCATGACTTCAGACGATAAAAAAGAGATGAAAAATATGCGGCGTGAAAGACAAAAGCGCGTGTATATAGAAAGAGAGAGGAAGAGAAGATAGATAGATAGATAGATAGATAGAGAAGGGAGTTATATACAAATTGCTTAAGCATTAATACTGGAGAACCTACTTACCAGGTTCAAAACAGGGTTTCTGGAATTCGCAAACGGAAATTTATTTTCAAAATCACCATCTTGCAAGCTGGACCCTGTATCCATAAGAATGTAAATGTGGAACCGCAGAAGTTGCTCAATGTGCACAGAAGGAAAAATACAGCAAAATAAAACATGCAATGCTACCATTTGAATGGGGATGTAATATTCTATGATTATCTTGGCTCTGTGCATTTGACGAACCAGGTATGCTTGTAACATCGATGTTTACCAGCGAAGAACCATCCAGAGGAAGCCGCACAAAATGAAGGATGCACTGTGCTTTTGACTTTGTACCAACATGCTCAGCAATTTGATTCCAGTTTTCGTTGTACAGTTGCATCCCCTCAAGTAGAAGTAGTGTTTCCTGGTCACTCCAATTATCTCCATCTGCATCTCCATAATCATTTGTGGAACTGACCTTCACAAAATCAAGGCTAGAGTGACAGGCAACAAATCTTCCCTCATTGAAGCATTCCAAACACAATAGTACATCAACCTGTCGAAGATGTTGGTTAGCCACAAAGGAAATGCAGCATAAATGTCAATCAATTTTTTCTTCACAGAACTTTGGAAACTCAATAAGTGTTGTACACTCAGGGAGGACTGGGAAAATAAAGTCTTTATTTATCACCAACTCCTCAAATGAAGAAAATTAGCATAGCAATACCCAGTCATTTGGCAGCAATGACTGGTAAAAACATCATTCTTTTTATCTCTTCACCAAATATTCAAATCCTGTTATGCCTAAATTACAGAAACCTGAGTGATATTTAATTGTGACATATTTCACAAACCACTAAGATATAGTAACTCATAAATTTAAGTGAGAGCACAATGTACTGAGTGTAGGCTTAAACGAATCTTACATTCAGAGGTGTGTTGAACTACTCTTGGAAATTTTATTTGTAAATACATCATATAGGAATGATCTATGATAGGTGGGTCACTGATCCCTATGAAGCATCTTCATGGGCTTTGCAGTATTAATGGCCGATGTGTAAATAAATTTGCCGAATGTTCGTGCACATCTTCATCCATGTATTTATATGTCCATTGATATACATAAACTAGATTATATCCTACAAGTCTTTAGAAGGGTATCTCAATAGAATTGGACTAAAGGCAGATTTAATCTCATCGACTCTTTTCATTTCTAAGGCAATGATGACAGTGGTACATAGTAATCTCCCATAAGCAATTCCACGTAACCCAATCACTATTGAAAATATAGAACTAGAAATCTTTTTCGGAGAGTCAGTAGGATAAGATTTTAACTCAAAATGCAGAATTGGAGCACTTTTTGGTGAATAACAAAGCAAGGGCTAAAACCTAGCAATCATGGAAAATCGAGTTAGGGTTTCAAGTTAAGGGTACAAATCGGGAGTGATCAAGTTAAGGTTGTTTCACGAGTCAAAGAAGGATTCAAAAGGTTGAACAGACTCATGAACTTGATCGTATCACACCGTCTACTGAGTAGAAAAATAGCATATTTATAAATGAGATGCATAATAATAAGGTATAAATTGTCACTCACCAACTATATGAGTATACCTAGAGTTCTAAATATACTTTGATAGCACAAGAGCATATACAAATGACTATTTAAACATGAGAGGCTCTCTACTTTAAATAGTCAACATTTAAAATCATGTTCCAAAAGACTCTTTAAATTAACATTTTAATTTAGAGAATGAGTTTGGCTCTCCAAATTTGGAGATTCAAACTCCCTCTCTATAATTAAATGCATTCAAAGTATTTCAATTTTCAATTAAGGAAAACAATAAAATAATCTAAAGAAAAGCTAATTAAAATAAAAGATGAAGAAAAATAATAAATATTTTTAAATGGTAAAATTAAGTGTTAAATATAAAGAATTTGTTGGAGTATTTCAAAATTTTAACTCTCTAAATTTATAGATACTCTCCAAATGATAAAATATGCTTTTTAAAAAATAGAGAGTCTCTTGGAAATGCTCTAAATGACATAATTTTTAACCAATAGCCATGCATAAAGCATATATATTAATAAAACAGAATTGACAATTACCCATAAGAAATTCCCGTATTGTACATTTTCCCATGTTTGTATCAACTACCTTTCTAGAAGGGATTTTCCACATAAACATCACTTCTCCCAAACTTCCACAGCAGTTACCTAAGCCTAAGCCAGAAAAAAGCTATAAACTGCAATGGCACTCAGCCTTCATGTTCCTGACACAAGAAGTTACAGTTATAGGTCTTCCAAATCAGTATCGCATGGTTCTTTGGGCCGAAAAAGTGCCATCAACTTCCACCAAAGTTATTTTGAAGGAAAGGTCTAAAGCAAAACCCAGGGGTCAGGGAAGCTTCATCTGATCATTTCCATGATATAGCACAGTCATTGTACTTCACTCCAAAAGTTTGATTGTATTTGTCCCTAGCACAATCAGGATTATTTCTCAACCCAACTTGAGGTAATCTCAAATGAGCAATGTTTGGCTTTGATCGACTAGACTTATTTAAGGCTATAGGTTGCCCTGATCAGCAAGATTATGCATTCTTGAAGCTTTCTGAAGCCATTTTTCAGTCTAATATCTACTTTCCTTGCACGAAGAAATTTTTGCGTAACTACATAACTTCTACCTTTGAACATTTCTTATATACTCAAGTTAAAAACACATGCTCAAATGTCTCTTTATGTTACACATAAGTATGATCAGAAAACCAATGCCCACATCTCAATTTATGCCTATAAATAATGACAAGTCGAACCAAAGTACTGAATTTGAGATGAAGAAACTAAAATGAAGATTAAACATTCATATGTGCCTTTAGGGTACTTGTCATCAATGAAAAGACCAGGGACTCTCATTCAAGATCTCAATTTATGCCTATAAATAATGACAAGTCGAACCAAAGTACTGAATTTGAGATGAAGAAACTAAAATGAAGATTAAACATTCATATGTGCCTTTAGGGTACTTGTCATCAATGAAAAGACCAGGGACTCTCATTCAAGAATGGGCATAGAGGCTACAACATACAGTGCAAAAAAAAAAAGAACTACATTTTCAAACTTGCATAAATATCTATATTATAGAATATATAATAATACCTCCACAGAAGAGACAAAGAAGGTGAGTTAACGGCAATCAAGAACAATGGTGTCTTGAAAAGAAAATAAGACAGTGCACAGAGGTTAAAAGAAGTAATTTCAAGCGTATGCTATTTACCTCTTTCTGCGACTGATAATACACAACAGGAGTTGACCTAGAGCAATGATTACATTGATGCTCAGATAATTGCTCTCGGATGGTGCTGTCCAAGTCGGAGTCCTCTTCGTGCGGACGACCAAGTTCTGGATAAATATCTGTTGCCTTGAGCCTACATTTAGGCTTGTCAAAGTGAATCAAACTATGAATGGATTTCAAAGCATCTGAAGGCACATGAAGTTCGCCATTTGAATCCTGGCATAAATATGTTCCATCCTTCTGGAGCTCAGATTTAAGAGGAGTTGCACAATAGTTTATGATTCCCCAATGATCAAGAAATCTCATAATCCGAGTTAAATCATCCACATCAATACCGTTTACGAGTTCCTGGCAATCAGTGACAGATAAGCGCTTCTCTGGGTTCTCCATGTACTTTGCAACAATAAAATTCCGACATTCCATGTACTTCTCTGGTGTATGATCAACTGACTTCCCAGAGAAAAAATGAGGCACCACTTGTCTCTCCAATCTATGCACTGAATTTGGTGAAAACCAGTCTGTTTATGAAAGGTACCAAAACAACTAAAATTAGGGGACGCATTCTAACCTGCACAAAAATGGAGAATACACATAGTAAACAAATAACGGTTCAATACAAGAATGCAAATGGAGCTCTTTAAAGGCATGCAAAAGCAGCATATTATTAATGTTCTGGTCTTCTCACTCTCTAAGCGTGCCAGGAGCTACCGATCATGTACAATGATACCAAAGAAGGAAACATTGCACAGAAAATGACCTAAAACAGCAAAAAATAGTCACCCCACAACAGTAAATTTTCCATTCTGACCAGTAGAGAATCAAGATATACGCTTTCTGTTGGCTTTCCCAATTCATTCGTGAATAAGAATTCAAGGGTTACAATTTGTTTTGTACTAAAAATGTATCTGTGTGCATTTTGGAGGTGTTGGGCCTGGGAGTTTGCAACATACCAAAGTCAGGCTAAGAGCTCGAAGAGTCACTTCCAGACTGAAGCTTTCTTTTGGCATTTTAGCCTGCTGTTTTTTTCGCGCCAGACATGTTTATTATCACATAAGCTGATTGGAGTTTGAAACATACACCAAATTTTGAATAAAGAAGTCATTCATTATCGATCACAGAATGAGAATGGAACATAGTTCATTTTAACATTTAATGTTAGAAAATATCAATTGAAAATTGCAAGATCTGCATTCAACTGAGCTGTTGTCATAAAGCATACCCATTATTACTAACCAAAGAAACGGGTGTGGCAGGTATTCAATAAACCCAAATTTTCAACTAATATATTAATGTCTCTAAAAAATTGAAGCTTAAAACTAGAATTACATACAGAAAGCACTAGAAAAGAGTAACTGAGCAACCTGCATGCACTGGCACAACATGGACTCGACCAGCGCTCCCAAACCTTTTAGTAACACCGCAGCCAGCAATTATTGGCGGAGGCGTGATCGCATATGATGCACCCCCGCTCCTGCTTGCAGTCTCCTCCTCAGAAGCCCCTAATAAAGCCACACTATCCCGCGGCACAGCAGAGAGCACCTGCAGCTGTCCATATGAAATGTTTTCCAACACCGCCACCCCATTCTGGCCCTGCCCTCTCCTCTCTCCATTTCGCCCTGACCTCTCCACGTCCACAATCCCCAATACCGATGAGTGGGGCCTACTGACAACCCTTTTAACTGCTACTGGGAACTCACATATTTTCACCCCACCATCAACCAACGTTTCACTTTCTTTTGATCCTGACACGGATGTGGTCCGATCTGCACTTTGATGGTGGTGATCATAGTCAGTTTCGGGGTGGTTATGAGGTGGGTCCTGGTCAGGGTCATCTTCGTCATAGTTCTCCTCAAAAGCTTCATCATTTAGAGGTTCATTGATTTTAGATTTCCGAGAAATCTGGTTCCCCCTTTTCCGCTTCCTCCACTTATTCCTCCCCTCTAAACAAAACAAAGGAAATGCAAGAAAATCAAATTATTTTTCAGCTTAATTTTACAAAGTTCTGAGAGAAACATGAAATATCCATTAAATCTTCTAGTTTATAATCACAATTTTGCCCATATAAACATGGATTTGAATTCTAAAAAAAAAAAATTAAACATGCGAGATTATGTTAACAAATGGGTCTATGAAACTAAACACGTCGCGCACAACAAAAAAGTTTTTTTGTCAAATTTAACACATGAGACGCACAAAAATACAATTTAGCTTAATTTCACAAATGCCTTTCTGCTGACCCATTTGTGAAATGGGTCAGGGTCAGCAAACATAAACATAAACCCAAAACCAAAAGAAGTTTATAGCTTCACAAATACGTCTCCAAAACAAGCAAAAATCAATTAATTCTAGTTCAATTCAACTGAAGGGTTGATGAATGCGAATTTATACAAATATAGAAACGCGGAATTAGGGGCTTATGATGCGTTACCTGAGGAGGAAGGTAGCATTCTGTGGGAAATTGAGAGGGAAATCTAGAGTTGGTGTGGGTTTAAGGGAAGAGAAATTTGTGGGGTCTCTGTGATTGGTGGGTGGGGGAGACTAGTGGGTAGCTGCGTGTTGTGTGTGAAAGAGAAAGAGAGGTTTTCTGACTTCTGTTGTGAGTTCCTCTGTATTGTGAGCTCCTTATTTGGGGAAATTTCTCACCTCACTGGCAAGGCTGGTTGTGTGTATACATAAGTTGAATTTATTGAAAATTTACTTTTTAGTCCTTCAAGTTTTTGTGAATAAGAATCTGTCCCTATTGTGTTTTGAAAATATTGCACGGAGGTCCTCATTTATTGTCCCAGTGCAAGTTGGTCTCCAACACTAAAAAGTAACAAATTGCTCATCAACTTTTTTGTACAAGCAATCGCTACCCACCGCGATGAAAATAAAATCACATTGGTTCTTGTAAAAACCTGTCTCACCTCAAAATTATAGATGCTAAATTAAATTGAGATGTAAAATCAAGTTTTAAAAACTTGGAAATACGATTAATTCTTGTGAAATTAAAATGTAATGATAGATTTGAATATCAATTTTTAAAAATTGGAGATCGACTTGATATTAATTCAATAGGTTCGGGATTGTAATGTAGCTTTAATTTGGATTGCTTATTTAACAATAATGAAAGATGAAGGACGTAAATATCTAAAGATTGTAGAGTCAAATTTGCTATGTGAGACACTAGTTGAGAATCTTCATAGCAATTTTAAAATAGGGGAATCCGGATATGTGGAAAGAGTAACGAATAATGCTAGGTAATCCCACTGTAATTGTCACCTCAATCTAAATAGCGTTAGATAATATGCTAAATAAAATATGGAATTAAATGAGTCCGCTTATCATTTAATGCAACATCAGCGTCCTTTAAACTAGGATTGCAACTCCAGTAAAGTTAAATAGCATTACTTAAAAGTAATGCTATTTATTATTATAAGATGGAGTATCGGTGATATAGCAACTCATTATTCCTCACATTTCTCTCCCTTCCCCCCCTCCCTAAAAATTGAACTATTAAATCTTTTTTTTACATAAACTGTCACATCACCGATATTACATCATTATAATAATAACATTATTCATTTTGAAAATTAGCCACTTTTGAAAACTTTTGCAATAGGATGATCTCAATTTTCGTGTGATTTAAAAAGTTGATAGAAATTTAAATTAAAGTCAACGAATCAATGATTAATTTTAACCACATATTTTATGGAATTCATAATTTTTATCAACTCTTTAATCACATATTTATCAAAAAAAATTTATCAAAATATGCTAAAAAATTAATTTTTAACTACACCAAATAGGGACATTCTTTTACGTAAATATATCAAAATACCCTTTTGTAAAAAATTTAAAAGCTTTTGCAAATATAGTTCTTCTAACACCTCGAACACAAAATATCGAGTTATGAACAAAGAAAATTAAAAGATATAGGTCTACAGGCTCGTGATTGTAAAGTCCCAATTATTGACTGAATAGGGCACCTCTACCTCCTGCCCCTTCGATCGATAAAAATGGAGAGTAGAGCTTTTATTTATTTTTTCATGGACATTTCAAGACGCAATTAACTCGAAACAGATCAAATTGATTTTTATCTATCAAACTTAATCGACTATAAAAAATAAAAATAAAAAAAGGTTATCTAACAGCTTTTATACAAATTCGCCCAAATGAATAGAGCTCGTTGCAGATCTAAAGATAAAATTGGCATTAAAAATTGTAAATTTTCTTCTGCGGCAATAGAAGAAAAGGAGTAGACTATGTGATAGGAAGCTATAAATGCATTTGCCAACCACCAGGAATTTGTCTAAAGAGATTACTATTTGACATTTTCAATAATGCACCAAAAAGTCCACTCTGGTAATAGTAATGCTATTTATCATTATAATGATGGATTATCGATGAACTGACAATTTATACGGAATAATATGATAGGACAATTCAATTTTCATGAGAGATAAGAAAATTGAACTATCATATCCCATTATTTTACCTAAATTGTTACATCACCTATGTTTAATAATAATAATAATCTACAAATTGGCCGATTTATGTCCACGATTACGCCACATTAGTATCCTGCAAGCCAAATCGCCCTCGATGTTAGTTGGAACTCACCATATCAATTTAAATGACCATTTAGATTTTAGTGTGACATAATAAAGTTTACTGACTAAAGTCTAAACATTGACGCTAAAAGTTTTAGTAGAACCCCTTGAGAAGATTTCGCCCCGTCACTTGTGTCATCTAAAACGAACGGTAATCTGTCTCTCAAGATATAATGTTTCTTCTAAAATTAAAATACAATATAATATTAATTACATCTAGAGAACCAAACTTGATTGTATTATTTTAGACCAGTTGATGTCAAACATTAAAATTTGAAATCAATTTTCAAATAATCTGGAGAGAGAATTAATTAGAAACTAAATACTCTCAAATTATTTTGGAGTGTAGAAAGTCGAATTAGAAGGGTCTTATTTATAGATTTCAATATGACGTTTCCATCTTTTAAATAAATCTATTTCATGATATCCCAAAAATAACTAATCTAAATGGGGGTGAATTGGTTTTCAAAACCTTTTTAAGAAAATTTTCCAAATATAAACAAATTAAGAATGAATAAAACAATCAGGTAATTATGCACAAATACAAAAGCGATAAATAAAAGGGAATAGATTTTGCAATCGATATAATGTGGATGTTCGATCAAAAGCAATGATTTACGTCATCTATTACCAAGCTTTCAGTCACGAATAAGGCATTCTCACTAATTGTGATTGAATTATGGCGCAATCCAAAGCCTAACAAAGTTTCTGGTGACTTACACACAATGACCATCAATCTTTATATAATATTGAGTTTTTCAGGATCTCAATATGATCCAAACTATTGAGCTTTCTAGATACCTCAATATGACCCACAAATTTGAAGAGAACTGGTTTTATAATTTGAAATTTCCCTCTTAATAATTGTTATAAACAAATTAAGTACTATGAGAGAAATAAACAATACTTCAATGAATAGCAATAATAAACACTCAAGTGTTAGATGAGAAAACATTAACGAAGAAGATGAATAAAGAATTTGATTCAATTAATCAAATGTATTCACAATAAATGTTTTGATTACAAATATAATTTTACTCAAGAATCTCTCACTTTAATGCTCCTAAAAAGTCTTGCAATGAATGTAAAAAATGAATATATTCGTAGAGTTCAATGAGCAAAAATATATGTGGAACCGAATAAGCAACCGGTATCTGCTTTTATGTCCGGACGTACAAAACTAGTCGTTGTGCACCAAACATGAGAACGGTTTAAAAAGTGACCGTTATATGAATTGGATGTTCGGATGATTCGAACAATCACTACTTGATCCGGACGTTTGCAGTTTCGTCCGTTTTGACTTTATTTGAACCGATGTGAATGTTTTTGAATAATGTAAGCCATTTAATGGTTTTTTCAAAATATGAGCTAAGTTCAATTATAATTTTGAAAATTAATTTTGCTTTTGATAAGCGGTAATTTTTGCAAGTGATGATCAAAATAACTTTTGGCGCATAAAAATGATTTTTGAGCTCTTATCGTTTATTGCTAAGAATTGAAGTTGTTATACATTTACAAATAAAAAGAGAAGCATCTAGTCTATTGAGCTTCCTTTTGGCGTTTGGCTTTTGTAATTCTTGTCTCAAATGATTTGACTTGAATAGTCGACTTTCTTCATTGTGAGTCCAATTTGTAATGTGAAAGTCTTGATGGCGATCTTTTTTGTCCTCGATTAATCAATATGACATTTTGATGTTTTGAAAACTTAAATTTAATTGTTAGAATCGAGGACAACTTGTTTGCTATGATCAAAATATTAAAGATAAAGTCAACCATATGTCAACATTTCAACCATTATATCACGCAATTTTCAGATTGAGACGTGATCTAATAGTCCATATCCCACCATATTCAATGGTCACGACTCTTCATCATGAATCACATTTATAATGTTGCATACAATCATCGTACCCATTAGAAACTTTTTTTTCAATTCAAACATATTAATCATCAATTAGTCCGTAAATTCTAACAACATAATATATTCCATTTAAAATCACAATACCATGTTCTCAGTATTATAATGACTTTTATGGTAGTCTCATGCCAAGTTCACTTGAAGCACGAGATCTTTGGTCATTTTCCTCATTTATTATTTAAGTTCACATTTTTTAATGTTTCGTGATTAACCAAATGCACATATTTGAAATGTACATGTCTATCATTTAATCAAACAATTTCTCCGTACAAAATGAAGAAACATAACATAAATTTTCGACATTTTGACCTAATTCACGTACTCTAAATTTTCAGGACCAAATGCTTGTTATTCCGTTCAAGTACGTTCATTCTTTGGTTCGACAAACAAGGTTGGTATTGTGCAATATCGACTTAAGAAGAAACGTTGTATCTTGGGAGACAGACGTCCAT